CTGGAGAGGAAGGCTAGATGGATAATTTGCACAAATCAGGTTAACACGGAGCCCAGGAGATTACTGGCGGACATAAGAAGTTAGATTTTTTTAATGTTCTGGTTCCCACGAAAAGGGTATATCCTGTAATGTTCAGAGAACATCGTGAGAACCAAGGGCAATAAGGTAGGAATTGGCGTTCTTCTTGAATTTCTGGAAGTAACATGTCTCGGAGAACACCTCCCTTGACAATGTGTTCCAGAGCCTCGCTGTTCGTTAGATGAGCGAGTCTTTGGAAAGAGATGTTCTACAGGTATCCAAAGTGACCACGAACGAAGGAGTGCGAAGCATCAACTCGACGGGTTAATCTCGCGGTGTTCCAGAGAAGTGAGTGAGTTTGTGAGCGAGGCATCACCCACAAGACGAATTGCCCCTTTTTTGGGCAGAATCCAACATTTTCAGGGTATGTTTGGATGCTGCAGTCCAAATATAGGAACAGTATGCCAAGTTATGGTGCTGAGAAATGGACAATTCAAAGTTTGACATGAATATTTCGGCTAAAAAGGGAATAAGGTTTGAACCCATGGCTAGACCTGATTTGACTTTGATAAGTGAACTTTGTCGAAAACATTTTAATTGTCTAAGCTCTTATTATTGAGCTTAAAAAAAATGGTTCCTTAACATTAACTCACCCGCACTATGCGCGGTTTATGAATAATATGTTTTCTAATGATTTGTATTATGTGAACTTTTTCTACCAATAATGGTAGGTACATTTAGATTCCATAATCAACACTTATAACTAACATAAGCATTGTTTCTTCTTTCAGATTTTCTTTTTAACACATTTCCTGATGATGAAGGATTAATCCTTCGAAACATGTCCTTTTTATGTCCATGACCGTTGGTCATTATCAAATTATTTATGTGGTGGAGTTGTGACTGTGAGTTCTTTCACCCCTCCTGATTTTTATCACCCCCACTGTAAGTTATGGATCACCTACGTTGGTTATTATAATATTATTGTATCTATTTTACTTTAAATGTCTTCTTTGTACTTGAAACAAGTGTTCAATCACTCATCAAGATTTCTTTATTCACATGATATTTTTAGTTTCTTATTGTATCGAATTGTATTGCATTATTGTATTGTTGAAAATGAATGTTTGTGAATAAACTACTACTACTACTACTACTGCTACATAATTCAATTCATTCTGGAGGTGAATCAGTTAATAAGATAATGTTACATGTAGATGTCTTATAAATTGATTGATGTTCAAGAATAATATGTCTACATTACATAAATCACTAGCTTTTCTACATATGAGAGTAGAAGTGGTGAAAAGAATTCTGTACATTCGAATGAAATGTTGAATTAGATCTGAACGTCAAATGTGGTACGTTGAAATTAATGTATGACGGAAGGGTATTGGAGTCAGTAAGATTGTGGATGATTTTGTATATAAATGTGAGATCACTATTTTTTCGAGTCTTGTAAAGTGACTCGAATTCAAACTCACTGAGAAGTTGATCATAGTTATAACCTCGTACAGGATATACTCCATGCTTTTTCATACTGCAATAACTAATAATAGTAGATTGTTTTATTAGGATCAAAAGTGACACTTTGTTTGACAAGCGAATTTTGCATTTGCGAGGCGGAGCGTTTAGCGAAGCCGAGCGAAAGCAAAACTTGCGAGTCGAACAAAGTCACTTTTGATCCGAATGAAACATGCTATTTTTTCTGCAACCGAATCAATTGACTCAAATAAACATGTGAAGTAACCACCAATGCCGTTTCATATGTATGCAATGCAACAAATATTGACAAATAATTCATGTGGTGAGAATATTCTACCTGCATTAACAGCAGGTTAGGTTTTCTAGGATGTTCGAATTGTAGTTTCAATATAAATACAACCACAGAGTGACATATTTGTGTGTGGACCAGATGCTCTAATGGCAAATACCGCGCCAGTGCCAGCTATAGGAACAAGACGTGGAAAATGTTAGGTTAGTGAGCATATCAACAATGATAATAGTGATTATTTATTTCTCTCCATACTACACTGTGTTTGATTTGATAATCAAATGAAGCTAAACGATATCGTTGTTTGAGACAAAAAACTATTGCTTGCCGTGATTATTCAAAAACAAGTTATCCATCCCGAGAATAACGAATGAAATACAGATCAAGCAAGTATTTGAATCTTGGAGGCCTCCATGATCAAAACGAAAATACTTAACTGAGATGTTTATAATTCCAATACTAAACTATAATAAGGTGTATTTATATCTCCAGCATGGGTATGAAATGCCAAATCTGCTGAAATCGGAAACAAATCATGTATGCCTCTCATTCCAAATAACAAACCGTCACAATGTTGTTCATTCTTGATGACGTCCAGTAGATCCTTTCCTAAAGTTCAACTTTAGCTCCTAGGAACTAAAATTCAACTTTAGCTCCTAGGAACTAAATATGTTGCCTAGCAACATACCTATTTTTGTGTCAGTAATAGAAACGTCAATTTAAGAGCTAATTTTGGTATCAAAATGGACGACTTTTGTGTCGGTTGCAGAAAAATTTCTTTTGCACTCTTTCAATAGTAGCGATGAATCTCTCATGATTCGGATTCCACACAGAACTACAATAACTGAACCTCCTTGTATTAAAATAATTGAGTGAAGTGAATGCGATACGCGATGGGGAGAATAACAGATGAATCGAGGTAAAAGGAACGTTGATATTATTAATTGGATACATGTTTGCTGTTTGGTGAACGTGAAACTGAGTGAGACTCCAATTAGGCATGAACAACTTGTCGAGAAACGAGAAACAACAGATGTTGCAGATCAAATTATACTCCTGCCAACAAAACTGTTTTCTCTGGTTCCAGGAAATTTAATTATTTCATCCTGGATATTTTCAGATTCATAAAATAATAGCTACAGTCAGAAGAAACTCGTTAAACCTGCCTTATTCTTTTTAATCGTCCAGATAGTTAGTTCATTTTCAATTAGACATAATTACTTTGAGACGCCTCTGCAGACAAGCGCAACAAACTAAACACGCCTTTGTTATTTCTAACGGGTTGTGACCCTATGCTGGCCAATATTCTGTTAATTACTCGCCCCCTGGTGGATTACTAGGAACGTCTACATCAACAATCAGCTGATCATTTGTATCATTATTATATGTGTCTCTCGTGATCGCGTATGTTTCGTTTTTTTCTGGTTTGTTGTGGATTTCTTGTGCTCCTCAATTTCCCTGGTGGTTATTGATCAATTGATTGAGAATACAGCAACATGGATTCTTCATCTATGATGATATTGGGTAAATATCAAGCTACCAATCTGGTGTTTTGAATTTCATTATTGAATGCATGTGTTTGTTACCTCATAACCTCATAAAATACCTAATGATCATAATAATTATTGGAGTGGCTCTACCTATCCAGAAGCAAATAACTCATGAAACAGTAATTCGTTATTCATATTCCTATGGAGAAGGAATTTCAATATCAAAAAAGTCCACTGATAATGAGTGATCTAGATTTCAGGGGTACCTTGCAACAAAGAATCCATTTTGATGAAATCCTACCCGATATAAAAGGTAGATGTAGATACCACGTCAAAGCCATAGTGAACAGTCACTCTGAGAAGTTCCATCATGGAAGGAGAGAGAGGTTGAGAAGATATCCTTATGCATTCAAATGTTTGTTTCCTTGAAATCTGGTTTGAGTATGTTCAATATGATATAATGAGTGAGAGTTAGTAGAACTTTCAGATCCATTGGACCCCTGAAACGCCTACCTTGATAGTATGTAACGAAGGAAGTCGATGATTAGCCATTATGTATATTTTTTTTACGTTCTGGTACCCACCAAAAGGGATATCCTGTAATGTTCAGAGAACATCGTGAGAACCAAGTGAAAAATGGTTGGAATTGGTATTCTTCCTAAATTTCTGGAAGTTAAATGCCTAGGGGAACACCTCCCTTGGCAATGTGTTCCAGAGCCTCGCTGTTAGTTGGATGGACAAGTCTTTGGAAAGAGAAGTTCTGCATGTCTCCAAAGTGACCACGAAGACGTGTGAAGCCTCAACTCGATGGGTTAATCTCGCGGGGACTGTCAAGGGAGGAACAATTGTTGCTATTTCAGAAGAGCATCGTCCATGAGAATATCTATAAAATAGGGGCAGATCGCCAACTTTTCGACGGTGTTCCAGAGAAGTGAGTGAGTTTGTGAGCGAGGCTTAACACACGAGACGATTTTCAGGATATGTTTGGGTGCTGAACTCCAAATATGGGAACAGTAAGCAGCTGACTGGAAGTAAAATAGCTCCTGGGCCGAAACAGAAAACCAAGTTTTTGGGATGCACTTTTAGCAATTGATCACACGTGATTTTCCTAAGGAAGGTTTTATTGCTGATAGTGATACCAAGCATCGAAATGGATGTCTTTGAAGGTATGGTTACTCCTGACAAGCTTATGTTGGGCACAGTGAAAACGACTTTCCTAGTGAAAAGACATGCTTGTGTTTTTTTTGCATTGAAATCTACCAAGTTATTGGATCCCCATTCGAGAATTGTTGCTAAGTCCATATTTATGTTATCAACATATTATCTCCCTCGTTCGTTTCTGATTTGCCTGGCTGGTATTGGAGCCCTGAAAGAGAAGGTGGTATGAAGGGTACTATCATCCGCGAAGCAGTGTACTGGACATGAAGTTGCTTCCAACAAATCGTTGATATGGAGTAGAAATAGTGTTGGTGCTTGGATTGATCCTTGCAAAACATCAGCAGTTGTGATATGAGAGTCAGATGAAACTCTGTCGACCACTGTATGGAGGGACCTGTTTGATAGAAAACTAGCTAGCAGAGAACATAGTTGGGGAGGCATTGTGAAAGTTCACTAGAATGCGTTCTATTTGGAAGTAGCTCAAGTGCAACAAACACTGGACTGCTTAGATGCATGAAACATCAAAAAGAAATTATCTCTATCAACTAGTACATCCTTACCTTGGACGGCGTGTTGATGCAGGATAGTCAACGCAGGCCCTGGCAGGTCCCCCGTCCACGTCCACGTCTCCCTGCCGCAGCTGCGCAGCTCGTGGTCCACGAACTTCGCGCACAGCCGCTCGTGCTGCGCCAACTCCGTCCAGTCGTCCTCCTCGGTGTTGCCACGGTTCTCCCTGGTCGAGAGCCACAGCTTCAGGCGGATACGGCCCTGCACGGAGCTGCGCTGCGAGCGCGCTTCCAGCTTGAACCAGCCCTCCAAGCCGGTGGAGGGGATGTCCTGGAAGAGAGAGAGAGAGATACTGGTTATTTCACTGGTAGCTCAGTAAAGGTTTAGTGGAGCCCTTGTTGGCAGGGGCGTATTTACCATAGGCCCAAATCGGCCATGACCCGGGGCTCAAGTTTTTTTTGGATGGATATGTTTCGTTCAGTGTAGATTCGACTCCTGATATTAACCATGTAGATCAGCTTTCTTTGATTTTGAGATTCGTTCAAGATGATGCAGAACCAGTTAAATGATTCGTTTGCTTCCTGCCAAACACTGGTCACAAAGCAGAAGATATGTTGCAAACCGTTATGGAAACCTTCAAATCAATGGATATCAATAATTGCAGAGGTCAATCCTATGGTAATGCTAGCAACATGTCTGGGCAATATGATGGAATACAAGCTAAGATAAAAGAAAAATGTCAGTATGCACACACATTCGTTAAACTTGCTCGGCTCATCGGCAGCTGAATGTTGCATTTTTATGCAAATTGGATACAATGGCTGGCTCAGAAGTTAGAGTAAATGCCACGAAACTCCAAAAAGTTCACCCTATCTGGCGAATGATTCACATTAAAACAATTCCTGGCGTCTCATGAAAAAAAAAATGAGTTCAAGGAAACTCAGCTTATTTCCCAGGCAAACAGATGACGAATGATCACGTCACTGTGACGTCCCTAATTGGTGATTTTTCGTCAGAGACGTCACACACCAATTTATGACGTCACTATGACGTACTTTCTATGACGTGATAATCACGTGGATTTTTGCCGTTTTCTGGCACTTTCGGCCGTCCGAAGATGGCTCGGTGACTATATCGTTCGGAAGTCTTAGGTGGGAAAATGAAAATTTTCATCTGGCCTATTATCATCGGAAAAAATTCACATGGACTAATTTGATGTCGTGATGAACCAGTCTGTGATGGAAATCGGGAAATTTTGGGAAATGGATACGTAGTAGCCTACCGGAGTGTTCCTATTGGCAATAAAAGCGAAAAGCGAACTTTGAGCGCCGATATCTCGAAAAATATTTGTCCTATCAGGCTAATATGGTGTCATTCGATTCAGCCTGTCATTCTCTACTGGAAAAGCGATAATTCGCGTAGATTTCCTCTTTTTTCTGACACTTTCGGCAGTCCGAAGAAGGTCTTCGTGATTATATCGTAGGGAAGTCTTAGGTGAGCAAATGAAAATTTTTATTTGCCCTATGAAAAATCTGAAAAAATTAACATAGACTAATTTTATGTCATAATGAACGGATTTGTGGTGAAAATCAGGAAATTTTTTGGAAATAGAGACGTAGTAGCCTACCAGAGTGCTCCTATTGGCAATAAAAGCGAAAATGTGACTTTGAGCGCCGATATCTCGATAACTATCTGTCCTATCAGGCTGATCATGGTTCCATTCGATTCAGCGGCGTATCATTTTCTACTGAAGAAGTGATGATCCGTGTGGATTTTTTCTGTTTTCTGGCACTTTCGGCCGTCCGAAGATGGCTCGGTGATTATATCGTACGGAAGTCTCAGGTGAGAAAATGAAAATTTTTAGTTGGCCTATCAAAAATCTGAAAAAAATCACATAGACTAATTCGATGTCGTTATGAACGAATCTTTGGTGGAAATCGGAAAATTTTGAGAAATGGAGACGTAGGAGCCTACCGGAGTGCTCCTATTGGCCATAAACGCAAAAAGCTGACTTTGAGCGCCGATAACTCGAAAACTATCTGTCCTATGGGGCTCATCATGGCCTCATTCTATTCAACGTGTCATTTTTTACTGAAAAAACGAATAAATCACGTGAATTTCTGCCGTTTTCTGGAAATTTCGGCCGTCCGAAGATGGCTTGGTGACTATAACGTATGGAAGTCTTAGGTGGGAAAATGAAAATTTCTATTTGGCCTATTAATTACCTGAAAAAATTCACATAGACTAATTCGATGTCGTGATGAACGAATCTGTGGTGGTAATCGGGACATTTTGGGAAATAGAGACGTAGTAGCCTACCGGAGTGCTCCTATTGGCAATAAAAGCGAAGAGCTGATTTTGAGCGCCGATATCTCGAAAAATATCTGTCCTATGGGGCTGATCATGGTCTCATCCGATTCAGCGTGTCATTTTCTACTGGAAAAGCAGAAACTCGCTGGGTTTCCTCTGTTTCCTGGCACTTTCGGCCGTCCGAAGATGGCTTGGTGATTATAACGTACGGAAGTCTTAGGTGGAAAAATGCAAATTTCTATTTGGCCTATTAATGATCTGAACAGATTCACATAGACTAATTTGATGTCGTAATGAACGAATCTGTAGTGGCCATCGGAAAATTTATGAAAATGGAGACGTTGCAGCCTACCGGAGTGCTCCTATTGGCAATAAAAGCGAAGAGCTGACTCTGAGCGCCGAAGGAAGCACTGTTGCCATATACTGTAATTGATGCGGAAAAAGGTTGATTCAGGCTGAGTTAGTTTAGATTGTCCAGAAAAAGTAGTATCCCTTGTTCCCTCAAGCAATTTATCGAAACACACTTTTTAGGAAGGTTCATTCAGTCCGAGTTAGGATATATTGTTTTGAAAAAGTATAGTCTCTTTTGCTCTCTCAAGTAATATTCAGAGAAATATATTTCCTAGGAAGGAGGTTCATTTAGGCCGAGCAATTGATATTTCCCTTCCTCATATTACGTATTCAGAATTCAGGAAGCCATAGAAATGCTATAGCTAGACGCGTGTGGGCCTAACGCACATTGTGTTACACCCACATCTGGTAAACGTGCATCCTTCGGGTATGTTCCGAGACGATGGGAATAAAGAAATGTGGGCCTAACGAAATGTTTGCCGATCGAAATGTAGGTGTAACGCATTGTGGGCATAACGAAATGTGGGCATAAAGCAATGTGGGTGTAATAAAATATGGGTGTGATGCAATGTGTCGATAGACACACAATGACAGTTTCATTGAATTCTGGTATATAGGATAGTATTTGGCAACAGTAACTTCTTCGGGTATGTTCGGAGACTGTGGGTGTATCGAAATGTGGGGCTAACGAAATGTGGGCATATCGAAATGCAGGAACAATGCGATGTGGGAGTAACGAAATGGGATAACTGAGATATCGTGTGAAAGCATTAAAAACTGGACACACTGTAAATATATTGAATTTCTTCTCGCCCCCTGTAGAACTATTTTTTCATATCACCCTTAGTCATAGATATAATTTTATTGTTCAGAAATCGGTTAGAAGAGTGACGTAGCTAATTAGTTATCAGGATGATGAATCAATAAGCCACCTGTCATTCGTCAGTCATATATTAGATTTCATCGCGTTCGGTCGATTCAATTGGTTTAAAAAAAATCTGTATCATTTGACAATTGCCGAATCGAAATGCTTCATATTGCATTATTTGTGTGTGTAAGAAAGCTGTGTCTGTGTTAAAGTGTATGTTTTTTTGTGGGTGAAATGGCGATGAAATATGATTAATTTCAAAATGGTGAGTGTTTTTTTTATTCGAATTTGGGGATATTCATCACGTGATTCGGTATCTTGGTATGATTTTGTGTTTTCGTGAAGAAGGTATTGAATACCTCATTTTTATGCGACATGTATGTATATGGAAAAATCGAATATACAAGGTAATCCACGTTATCCAAGTTAAGATGTCCAAGACATTCGTTTCAGATGTAACACCCTATATGTAAATTTTTCAATTCTCGAAATCATCATGAACAGTTTTTTATACTTGTACGCTTTTTCATTGAATACGACTGTACATTCAGTGTTGAATATGGTACATTCTTGTTGGTTGATACAAAATGAAAATCTTTTCTAGCAACACTGCTCTCACCTGCAGCGGTATCGTCACGCAGCCCAGGAAGTCGTCCTGCGAGCTCTGCCTGGCCGACTGACACACCTGCTTGAAGAACCGACCCAGGCCACGCACGCCCCTGACTTCGTTCAGCTTGCTGACGGCCTCCAGCACCGAGCTCTCGTCGTCGTGGTCCCAGATGTCCAGGTGCAAGGAGTCGCTGCCAGTGTCATCGATGTCGCTGGAACAAAACGAAAGTGGATCGGTGCTCCTACACTATTTCAACAGTGGCGGTTCGTCAGGGTCGGCAGGGTCGGACGGGCCAAACCAGAAAATTTCAGAGAAAAAACTGAACAATTTGATAAATGATAGTTTGATACGTATTATGTGTTCTAAGAAGCATATTATGCACGAATGGGTAAGTTACGCTCCTAGCCGCGGAGCGGCGAGTGCGTAATTTCATGCATTACGTACTATACTCTACCTACTGTCATATAGTACATAAACAAAGTTAGAACAAATAGACTGAATTATAATTCTTGACAGTTTTGTCATCCGCTGTTGACGGTGATTACGCGATCATGACATACCTATACTGGCGGAATGAACGAAAACTGTGCGATGTGCTAACTGTGCGCGGAGAGCTACTTACTGGGGCTTTATCTTGTGCGTTCTTGCCTACTTCTTGCAGTGACCGTTGGTAATACGATTCACATATTCGAATTTAATTTCTGACATTAATCATTATACTGTCATAGCTGATAAAGTCACGATTGTCAGTTTTTCTTTCAAATTTTCAAACGATTCTGTTTTCTACTTCGTGATTGTCGTGTTGAAAACAGGTATGGCTCATTCCTTGGAGCAGAATACATTCATTTTAATGTGTTATTGTCGAAATGGCACATTCATCAATGATGGATGGAGTTACTCGGTAGTAGCCTGCAAGGATGAGTAAGTGGCGAAATATCCTAATGTACAGATTCAAGAATTTTCTTTGAAAGCCCACATCAGAACAGTGATCGACAGATTCATCCAAACTGGAAACGTTGATGGAAAGAAATCAACAGGAAGGCCCCAAATATCGGAAGAAGTTGTCGAAAATCTAAGGGCGCGTGTTGAGCATAATCCCCAAACGTCATTGAAGAGATTATCTTTACAATCTGGTGTACCACTAAGTACATGCCATAAAGTGCTCAAAAAAAGATTGCATATGCACCCTTACAAGACCAGTGTACTACAGCAACTTCTGCCAATAGATATCCCACGTCGTCTGGAGTACTGCGAATGGTTCCAAAATAATCTCAACGATGACCAGCTATTGAACCTTTTCAGCGATGAGGCTTGGTTTTATTTGCCGGGATACAAGAACTCACAAAATTTCAGGTATTGGAGATCTGAGAATCCCCACAATTTCATTCATACTCCACTACATTCTCAAAAAATTGGGGTGTGGCGTTACCACCGATAAAACAAGGCCAGCAGACTCTGACGAAAACAGCTCGTGACGTCGCATACTCAGGTCATCTTCCAAGGCATTCGCGTCGATCGATCGTCAGTTTGTTTTTGTTTAAGAACGGTGGCGTAGTGTGCTCGAATTTTTTTGTTGTTTATTCATCAAAATAATTGGCGGAGAAATTACTGTTTTGTGAAATATTTCGTGTTGTGATAGGCGAAATAACAATGACTTACAAGTGTTGTGTTCCTTTTTGTCGGGGGAATTATGTGGGTGGTCCAAAAGTTCATGCTTTTAGTTTCCAGTTGGACAAGGAACTATCGAAAAAGTGGGTACATGCAATTCACCGCAAGGATTTTACGACTCCATCTAAGTACAGTAAAGTATGTGAATTACATTTTACTGAAGATGATATTATTACTTCATCTACTGCAACCGATTCAAAAACTGACAAAACTGTAACAAAAGATTTGAAAATTCCTAGGCTCAAACGAGATGTTATTCCCACTCAATTTCCCAACTGTTCATCTTATTTATCGAAAGATGTAAAATTACGCACAAGTCGTGATGAAAAACTTGAGATACTAGAGACTAAAAATTTGGCACAAGCACTTACCAAAAATAAAACTGAATTCGAAAATTACCAAAAATCATTCTGCTACACAGAATTTCAAGAATTTCAAGAATTTCTAGTTGTATTAGAGTCTTTTCAGTTGCCCGAAAAGTGGTTCAAAATTATCGATTTGCAAAAAGTCACATTATTCAAATTGTCTTATTCTCCAGGGCCCGTAATTACATATTCGGTTGTGATTGATTTTGTTTCGAATATGGAATCTTTTTTGTATGACCTAGCGATACAAACATCTCTAAAAGCTAATCTGAAAACACCTTTTATCTCTAATAATATCAATCAAATCAAGGAATTACTAATTGAAATAGATAAAAACGAGATACATAATTCGGAAAAATGTCTTGATAATCAAAAAAGAGGGTTTTGAAACATATTTCGAATGCATTGGACTCTTTGGTTTCTGACTCAGTACATTCTCAAATTTCTTTCTGAAAACGGTCATTTGCCTCGTGGCAATGAATGCAGAATTCAATCCAATGATCAAATTGCAACTATTTTATTAACATGTACTACAAACACTCTACTTAAAAATTACTGTTTCAAGTCTAACGACCAATTGGGTAAAAAATCCAACAACAGGAAATTGAAAACACTCACTGGCTAATTTTTTAGGTAATAGGAATTCTCCAAGATGAATATAGGTAATTAGGTATAACAAACGGCCCTGTATAAGTAGGTGTGAAGTTTACCTCTAATGAGATTGAATCACAACAATGTTTGCCAATATATTTAATTCGAATGGGTATTTGTGTTTTATTCTGGTTTTTGCTTTGAAACTTCGTTTTTCCATAATAAAATCGAATGGGATGCGAAGAAGGGCTCAGTTGACGGCTGGCATTCTCTTTCAACCGGAAGCCCTTCAAAAAAAAGCAAAATCGGCTCAATAATGATCAAAAACTAAAATCGAAATACGCGGTCACCTCATAGCGCTATAAGCGCTTGTCGTTTCGAGCCGCTGGTTAGGCCTGACTAAGTGACGTCACCCACGGAGCATGCAGGCCTTGTTTTATCGGTGGTAACGGGTGTGGTTAGCAGTTTCTCGTAGGCGAATATATGGACCGATTTTCTTCGATGGCACTATCAATGGTGAAAGGTACAGACAAGTGATGTTAGACCCATTCATCAATCAACTTGATGATGAAGAAATTCGAGTTGGCTATTTCCAGGAAGATGCGGCCACTTCCCACACCACACGTGCAAATTTAGATTATTCACAAGAATTTTATGACAACCGTGTGATAAGTCGAGGAGTTAATCCTTCTTTTATTTCTTTCTTGCATCAGAAAAGTGAATTCGGATTAATTATAACAGACCCAGGTAGCCATACTGACGAAAATGACGCCTATAGGACCGTTAATTTCGGTCATTAATAGCCTTTTTCGACACTTGTCCAATTCATGACGTCAAAAGGACGTCGTCTTTCCAACTTCACATGGACGGCAACTTTTTTGCGTCTTACGGACGTCAATATCTGGACTTTAAACACTTGTTAATCTCGTACAGAGTCTTGACATTCAAACCTCGTTAAAATGTTGCCGTCTCTACAATTTCAACTTACTTCTATCATTGTGGTTGTTGGAGTTTGGCTCGTTCAAATATTTTTAGTTTTTGAGTTTCTTTTTTTTTGTATATATGTTTGGGGTATAACAACAATAATTATTGTTATCATTCTCATAATTTCTTTATTTTACTGAAGTTTGCATATTTTCGTGCATATCTGATAAGCAGAAATGTATTGTTGGTTGCATATGTAGTGTGAGCCTTTGCCAAATGCTATCGAGGACAGTGCGAACTGATCCGAGGAGCGCATGCGAGAACGTTTTTCGAATGATAGTCGAAGTGAACACGCTTCGCAATTTTTGGTTTAACTTCGTGAGAAACATTTTTTGATAATAATTAGTTTGGTGGTGGTTTGGTGCAACAATAAACTCAAGAAGTTACACGCTGCAATAGTTAGCTAAGCTGAGTTCCTGGCCGGCCGGCAGAGAAAGAAATAATTTGTCGATCAAAGAGGTAAGCCGCTTTCTTTTCTGCTTTCAGTCGGTATAACTAAATTTATACAGTCCACATCTTTTTTTTGTTGTCGAAACGCAATACATTTTTTGATCCTTCTCACCGGATTGTTTGTAACTATTGATAATTATTGTTGTTGCCCGCATTAAAATTTGTTTCATAAAAATTTAATAGTTCAAATTGAAGTATTCATCTTATTCATTTCCATTTCGATAGATAAAAGTTGCGATAAAAAAGAACATTTTTTGCGCGATCGACCTTGTCTCTAGCTCGTCCGAGAACCCAGAAGAAACTCATTTTTTGTTGAGGAATACCATTTGGGAATTCCAATAGGTTCATTGCCTTTTTGGATATATAGAATCAGTTTACGTTGTTTGATAAAAACGAAAACTTGATTAGCTCATGCAATATTTACTAGTTGATTAATCTGAGTTAAATTAGATTGAATTCATCATTGTTGAATCGAAAAGAAATAATAAAAAATGAATGTCAAATTGAAACAAGCTATTGCGTCTCGTTCAACTGAAATAAATAGATTAAAAGAACTTTTCGATATGGCTGGTAACGCAAAAGTCAATTCACAATATTACATGTTGTTCAGGTGTAGGTTTGAACACATTGATCAGATTATGAATAGCTTTGATAAACATCATGCAGCCGTTGTGAATATAGTTTCAACATCGGATGATGGCAATTTAGATGAGCAAAACGAAATTCGTAAAGAATTCGAAAATCAATATTTTGATATTAAAGTAATTTTCAACGAATTATTTAAGCCACCTAATTTAGATGAAACTCGTATTTCGGATACCAGTAGTGACACCTCTAATGTTAAATTACCGAAAATCAAGTTACCGATATTTTCCGGAAGATATAAAGAGTGGCCTACTTTTTTTGATCTTTTTAATTCTACAATTAATAGTAACACATCCTTATCTAATGGAGAAAAATATCAATATTTATTATCATTGTTGGAAAAGGAGCCTTTGATGCTAGTCAAGTCGGTACCAGCGACTGACGATAATTATAAAATTGCCTATGACATTTTAGTGAAGCGCTATCAAAATATTCGATCATTAGCTACTACGTATTGGGATGAAATCCTCGAATTTCCAAAAATTTCTTCGGAATCTTCTCAAGAGCT